CGAGGGTGATGTCATGCTATCACATTTTTTTAAAAAAGGAGAAATTGTCACAAAAAGAAGTGTATTTGTGTGTTCTGATGGAAGCCGTGGATGGAAACTGGCGTCCGGAAGACTATATTTCAGCAGGACGATGCACCGACTCATATGAATCATTTGATTCAAAATTGTCTCTCAGACAATATCAATATGTTTTGATTCAAGGAATTCTGGCTTCCCAACAGTCCATTTTAAATCCCTTGGACTACTACGTATGGAGCGAAGTTGAAAGGGTCACAAGTTCCGGCATCCCAATGTGACGTTATTAAGGACCGCTATTGAGACAGTATTCGTCGGCATGGACAGTGCTACATTACAACGTGCGTGCGAACGCTTCAGATCGAGAATAGAGGTCATTCAAGCTAATAGGGGATATATCGAATAATTATGTTCTACAAGGATCCCCTAAGTGTTATGTAAAAATTTTTTGTAATATTTAATTTTTCATTAAAATGTTTTGTTTAAAAAAAATTTTCGATTTGTCCGGATTTTGGTGACACACCCTGTATATACAATATATATATATATATATGTGTACACACATATATATGAGGTGTGGCTATTAAATAACAAGACTGGTGCTATAAAACATTTTATTTTGATTTCATACATATTTACTTATTATCACCTTCAATATATACCTCTCCTCTATTCCTACAACGCTCCATACGAATCTTCCATTGTTTGAAACAGTGCTGAAAGTCTTCTTCTGTCAGCTCCTTCAGGACGCGTGCCGCTTTCTCTTTCACAGCTTCAACGGACTCAAATCTTGTTCCTTTTAATGCAGATTTCACCTTAGAAAACAGATAGAAGTCGCACGGTGCAAGATCCGGCGAATAAGGCGGATGGTCTAACACTGGGATGCTGTACTTGGCTAGAAACCTCTTGACAGACAATGCGGAATGAGCTGGCGCATTGTCTTGGTGGAGAACCCATGACTTGTCTTTCCACAATTCGGGTCGTTTTTTCCTTATTCTTTCACGGAGTTCAGCAAGAACGTGAAGGTAGTAATGTTGATTAATAGTTTGACCTTCAGGAACCCAGTGAAGGTACACAATCCCATGAATATCGAAAAAAACAATCATCATTGCTTTGAATTTTGATTTGCTCATTCGAGCTTTTTTGGCTTTCGGTGAAATTGGGCTCTTCCAGTGCATGGATTGGCGCTTCGTTTCGGGATCATAAGTAAAAAACCACGATTCGTCACATGTTATTATCCTTTCCAATAAGTTTGGGTCATTTTCAATGGTCAATCGTTTTCAAAGTGTCAGTACAAAGATTTTTGCGAGCTTCTTGTTGTTCAAACGTGAGAATTTTAGGTACCATTTTGGCACACACTTTTTTCATGTTAAAATTGTTATGTAAAATTTGCCGTACACATTCTTTGTCAATTCCTACAGTTTCACCAATCGCACGAATACTTAACCGACGGTAGGATCGAATCCGATTCCCGATTGTTTCGATATTGTCATCCGTTTTTGACGTGGAAGGGCGACCCGGGCGTGAATCATCTTCAACATCTTCTCGGCCGTCTTGGAAACGCTTAAACCACTCAAAAACACGTGCACGCGATAAACATTCATGGCCATACACTTCTTTCAATAAATTATAAGTTTCAGTAGCGGTTTTTCCAAGTTTCACGTGAAATTTCACAACAATTCGTTGCTCTATTGTTACACTTATCATTTTTCCGGCGAAACAAAAAAAACAACTCTAAGAAGGCTACGGCTATACGGATTTGTTTACAGAAGCGAGAGGTACTACATTCGAAAGAGAAGGCTTCACGCTAAACAGCTGTCGGTCGCTGGCGTTTGGCGCATGCGTACTTCTTCTGTAGCAGCATCAGTCTCGTTATTTAATAGCCACACACACATATATATATATATATATGTGTGTGTGTACATATATGTATAAATAGAAACGAAATAAATATATATGAAATACATGTATATAAGTTAATAGGTCATTCACATTTCTTTGCTCCGTATTTATTTGTTTTCTTCCTTCCTTTCTTCTTGGCATCGCGTTACGCGCGCGATTGTACCATAGCGCTCGACAAATCACGCTTTCATTATCGTGCAGTGCGAATAATTATGTATAAAATAAAATATAATATAATATATATAATAAAATAAATAAATAAATAAAATATTCCGCATGTGAGAAGAGGATAACAACGCATAACAGGAAAAATGGTAAGTATTAATTATAGCGCGCGGCGGGAACTGACGGCGGACCGTGCCCGGAGGCGGCAATGGGGGCCGGCGGTGGCGGACTGCTCCCGGCGGCAACGGATCGTGCTCAATGGCCATTAACCTGCGTAACGTCATCACCACGACGCGGACTCCGCAACGCAAATTCCCGCACACTCCCACTACATAATTTCCCACTACGTACATCCTCGTTTCCCGCACTGCAATGTCATCCCCGCGACGTCACCCACTTTGACGTCAACCCCCGCACACACCCCGTGATGTCACCTCCCTTGTCCAATCATGTACTATGACGTCATCCCTCTTTTCCTCTTCGCGAACCCCCTGCTCCGCGGGTACCACCTCGCCCCCCCCTCTCTCAGAGGACTTGAATTAAAATCCCCTTATCTTTAATTTATTCAAGTACTTTGCTCTTGTATTCTTTATTTAGTTTGTTGTATATAAAATGCCATCCTACCTATTTGGGACAAATGGCATTTTTAACAGGCGGAAATTATGCTCAAAGCATACAAAGTGCGCAGATTGAATTCAGTGCATCAAATACAATAAACGCATTACATGAAATATGCACCTCATGTCATAACATTTGTAATACATCTGGGAAGATTGTAATTATTATTTATTACTTCATATACATATTTATCATTCTTATTCCTTAACAAAACTTTATAAACGCATTTTATAAGTTATTGTGTCATTTTACGTCTTATTTATATGCATTATTTATAAATTTTTTATGAGCCATACATATTCCGCTCCTCCCCTTATGAGTAGTATCCCACCCCTATGGGATATACGGCAAAAATGTAAGGGTTTAAAAAAGTTCATTTTTTGATACGTGCGCGCGCGAAATATTTCGAATTTTTAATATTTTTTCATGGTAAACAATACAAAGTTTTTACTGATATAGTTCGTTTGCTATAAACATAATAAATAATACTTAATAAGTTAAGTTTTGGATAAGTACGGTATATACCGAAGTTATCCTATATCTTGTCATTGAAAGGGTATTAAAGAGATGGAATTTTATTTCCTGATCATGCAACATCCTTAAGACAAAATTTTTAATCCTTTAAAGTTGGTAGAATCAATTAGAATCAATCTTTTTACATTTGATGGCAGGATCTATACACAGAAAGTTGGAATACCATGAGCTCCCGGTTGTCTCCCATCATTGTAGATTTAGTCATGCGAGATCTAAGAGAAATGCCTTGGAAAGATTTGAAATTGAGGTTCATTCTTTTTCAAATATGTTGATGACATTGCTACTGCAATGCCTCACTTAATTAATAAATTTCTTCAAATTTACAATTCTCTACATCTTAGATTACAATTCACGTAAGAGATTGACGGTGACAAACTATAATAAATGTTTTGGATGTCACAATCATAAATACCGATGGAATATTAGAATTTTTGATGTATTTCTTAAACCAACTCTCTGAGAGCTATCTCAATTTTTTGTTCTCCATCTTCTCTGACAAAAAAGAGGTGGTCTGATGGGCATGATGGATATAACATTTTTATTGTCACACTCTAAATACCATGAAGAGAATCCCAGATTTATTATTAACACTTTTTTGAATAATAATTATTTCATCAATTTTATTTTTCATCAATTTTATTTTAACACGATGAACTGTCTTAGATTTTTATTTAAACTCAAGACGTTTAAATAGGCAGATTCCGTCGAAATGAAGAATGATGAAAAGGAAAAAGTCATATGATTTACAATTCCATTCCTACTTTATCTTTATGGAAAATTTAAAAACATTACAAAAATCTGAATGTTAAACTGTCAATATTCACTAATTCAATGTGAATAAGCTTGACCGGTTTATAAAATCTCAGAAGAATGTTCTTCCTCACAGCTTTAAGACAAATGTCGTATACAAAATTTGTTGCAAAGTTGTAATGTTTCATATGTTGGACAAAATGGGAAAAAACTAAAAACGAGGAAACATGCTAAACATTGAAACAACATTAATAGAAAAACTGCAAATCCGTTTGTCATCACCAAACACAGAAATAAATTTGGACATGATTTCGTTTGGAAAAATACAAAAATCTTGGATAGTGAAAGATATTTGGGTAGAAGACTGGTTTCTAAGATACTTCACATTAAATTTTAAGAAAAATTAAAAATCTGATACCGAGTTCTTACATCATATAATATATTTTACGACCGTATATGTGATAACACGAAGTACAGAAATTAATATCGTAAACCGTCTAATTGGATCCTAAATGCTTGTATGATTCTGTAAATTTATATATTACGTATATAGTCCTTTGAAACGCGCGCCGAAATGATTTTTCGGTTCTGAAACGCTAACTCTACTAAACTGCCGCAGTAATATTACGAGTTAAATTGACTAGCAATTTAACAATTTGTTTTTTCGCATCTTCGATTTTAATAATGCTGATTGACATATTAAAATCTATAAATAATTAATTCTTATTGCGAAAAATATTAGCTCTGTCAGGAGTCGAACCCGGATCTCTTGCTTTCCGGGCGAGCATCCTAAGCTTTTGGATCATTGAGACCCTAATATTCCTCGCAATAATTGGCATATGAAGAAACAAAATCTATTTAGGCAATGTAAATAAACAATATATTGGGTCATCTAAAAAATATCCGCGGTTTTTTGTTCAATTTTTGAATGAAATTTTTCTTTATTGAAAATCAATTTTAATCAAATATATATTGGCCATTATTATCTATAACCTTTTGCCATTTTTCGGGTAATTTCATAATTCCATCCGTGAGAACTTTTGTGGTTTATCAGCGAAAAACTTTTTCAAGTGATTTTCGGCAGCTCTTTTGTCAGCCAAGAGAGTTTTTCCATCAAGAGAGTTCTGCAGAGATCGAAACAAATAGTAGTCAGACGGTGCAAGGTCCGGGCTATACGGTGGATGCATCAAAACTTCCCAATCAAGCTCCCTCAATTTTTGGCACGTCATCAAAGATGTGTGTGGTCTGGCGTTGTTATGATGGAAGACAACACCTTTTCTGTTAATCAATTCTGGTCGTTTTTCCTTAATCGCTTCCTGTAATCTATCCATCTATATAGTTGTGAACAGTAGAGCTCTGAATTAATCATTAGGCCATGTGATAACACCTCATGATGGACGACTTCCTTCCAATCCCACCATACACACAGCATCACCTTATTTGCCATCAATCCAGGCTTTGAAGTCGTTTGTGGTGGTTCGCCGCGCTTATTCCATCTTTTACGAACAATATTCTTGTATTTCACCCATTTTTCATCGCCTGTGATGATTTGCTTCAGAAATGGGTCGATTTCGTTGCATTTTAGTAGTGTTTTGCTGATGGAAATTCGATCAATCAAATTTCTTTGCGTTAATTCATGTGGCACCCAAACATCGAGTTTCTTTGCGTAGCCAGTCTTTTTCAAATGACTCCAAACTGTCATATGGTTGATTCTTAGTGCATTGGCTATCTCCTGACAGCTCACATGCCGGTCTTGCTTGACCAGTTGCAAAATTTCATCGACTTTTTCAATGACTGGCCGACCAGAGCGAGGTCGATCTTTGACATCAAAATTTCCAGAACAAAATCGAACAAACCACTCCTGCGTCCTGCGTTCACTTACAACATCCGCGCCGTAAACTTCACAAATTTGTCTGCATGTTTGTGCTGCGTTTTTGCCTTTTTTGTAGTAAAAAAGCATTACATAGCATATTTCTTCAGATATTTCACTCATTTTCAAACCAATATAACTTTTGACACGATTGATGAATCACCAAACTTTGTTTACAAAAAATGTAACCTAAAATGTCATCTTTCAGACGCGCGTTCGTTTGACACAATCGGATTAGTGTTGCCCGATATATGACCATCAACACCATCTAGTGACAAAAAACCGCGGATACTTTTTAGATGACCCAATAATATATTATAGGACTCGTATACGTAATAACACAAACTACAGAAATCAATCATATCATTTAGACATTGATTTCTATAATTTATATTCTTACATCATGCCTTTCTCAACATTTTAAACAAGATTTGAACCAATACAATATTATTTTAACATTAGTTGACTACCTTCATATACTTTTAATATTTCATGACCTTTATTAACTCTGTAATGACAATTGTTTATTATCCAACAATCTTCTCTCTTACATTATATTTATGCTGAAGCAGTCATTTTAATAATTTAGTCAATACGAATCAGTACTGTAATGTGTTTCTTGTATCTATTTGAAAATAATTTATATTTTGATATATTGGTCATAATTAGCAGTTGATGAGTTTATATTAATTCTACAGATTTACATTACTGTTTTTTTTTCATGCTTTAATATTCACTTCGTTATCCTTTAGCGGTCAAACAGCTAATTGACAGGGATGTTCTCAAATATGGAATTGAAAAAACTCCTCAGCTGCTCTTTTGGACCTGTTCGGCACGATTAATTTTTAAAACTTTTTTGGCTTTATTGTAATATTATTTTTTAATATTGAGAGCTGTATAAAAGTGATTTAGTGTTATAAAAAATTTTTTATTTTTAAATGTACGTTATGACATCATTGAAGATGGCTCGAACAGAGCTGAAACGTTCAATTCTTTCGATTTGTATGTAATGTCTATACATTTATTGATTGTTGCGCGATTAACTACGTTCGATTGTTGCTCTCAATTACCTGTTAATCAATGTATTTTTATTTTTTTTATCTTGAGAGCTCAATTTTATTTTATTTATTGAATTTTTAATTATATAAAAACTAATTTATCATATTAATTAATCACTAAGTTATTTGTGTTCTTTCTAATGAATGATATTATTAGAAATCATACTTAAATGAAATTAGAAACATAATACTCACTATATTACATCATTATGATGTCGACATAATGTTCTTATTTCCTTTTCTTTTTTTCGATCAAGTTCAGAGAAATGTATCTTTTGAGATTCATCATCTCTACCTTCATCTTGAAATATCACTGCCATTTTCACCGCAATGTATCGATATTGCGCAGTTATCATCAAGACTAAGTGCACCATATATACATCCACACTAGCTTTCTTTAAAAATATACATACTGCACTAATAATTACGAATAGGCTTCCTAGTACAAAAATTTTGAGAGAGAATGGCTGTTTGGTAAAAGCAGCCGGTATTCTATAATCCTCGTAACAAAACAGATTTTTTTCAAATATCAATACAAAAGGTAAGCAGCCCCATGCTATTATCGATATCACGCCAGCGGATAAATAGAAATTGAGCGGAGTCTTTACCGGCTTTAAAGTCGTTGTCACAACGTCTTTCATAATTTCATCGGCCGTTTGCAATATTTTATTCAGTTTTTGGATTAATTGATATATCAAATTCTTACGAGCGCGAATTCGCAAGATAAGAAAAAACATTTCTATAAAGACTATGAAGCAGACCGTGCTATCTTTTAAAGCCTTCTCTATTGGCACGTAAATACACCCGGGTACCATTGCGATCGTCATAATGAATTGTATTATCCAAAAAAGAGCACTGTATAGCTTCCAAAAGAATGAAAAGGATGAATCGTGGTTGACCATCGGTAGAAGGTTGCCCGAAAACAAGTTCAATCGAACGTTTAAGGAATTCACGTTTTGGAAGTCCATGCTCACAATGTCGTTAAGCGGAATTGTATGATTAATTATCCTCTGTATCTTATATTCTTTACTTTACGTTTAACTTGTAATGCTATATCACAAACATTTCTTCTTTTTCCTCTCAAGGAAACATGTGTGGCTTTCCTATCGAAATTTGGATATAATTTGCGGAGCACATTGTTAATCTCCAATATTTTATTATTCCTTTGAATTTCTACTTAATACCTGAGCCTGAGTATTAATAAACGTCGTCACATGACATGCAATAAAGTTCCATACTTTTCATTATAATTTATAACGTTTCGTCTTGTTATTAGTGAGACTTGAAACTTCAATATCGTCAATAATACAGCGAATTTTCAAATCAATAACGACTTGAAGAAGTCCTCCCTCTATCTTCTAGTATCATAAAATGTACGAATTGATGAACATTAAAAAATAAAGACATTGAATGTACAGGACTACAATTTTCATTAAATTTATCACAGGGAGAACTATGAGATCAAGGAATTCCTTCTAAAGACATCTGTGTTCGACGTAGCAATAATTATCTTATAGTACTCTCTTAATTGCAAGCACGACACTATGTATCGCAGGACTACGAGTTATAATACATAAAGTTGTTTAAGAGATTATTCCATCCTAAAACTTTTGAAAAAATCGAAAACTTTTTTTGCTGAAATCGATAGTTTAGGATCTTAAGAATATAAAATTTTTTATCCGAAAGTGAAATTTCCAATATTGACAAGGATACAGTTGATTATATCGAGCAGTTCATAGCAATCGGTGCCTCTACACTGTCATTAAATTATTCTGTTTACTTGAATAATTCTTCTTCTTCGTCTTACTATTCCTCTGTATAGATTTCCGACCCTTTTATTGGGTCATGAGTATTATATCAAGTAGAGACTCTTCGGAGAGCAGAGACTCGCTTGTTTTCACTTTTCAATATTAGTATCTGTAATTTATCATTCTCAAAGTCAGTATCAATATGGGGGACAGTTTAACACCGAATCCAAACGGAGCTGACGTCTCTTAATCATCAGATAGAGTCGGCTCCTTAATCCTTAATATACACCTAGGGTCATTCGTGTTCTGCGTTATATTTTTTTCATTTGAAATACTAAGAGCATCTGATCAAATACCAGTCTCTTTTCTATTCCTAAAAAAAGTTTAATATTTAGAGAACAAGTTTTGTGCGTTGCCGGTTTCAATTCGTGCGTATCCCTAACTGGTATAACTCCGAAGTTCACCTCTGGGTCACAAATAACCCAATGTGTGAACAGAGTGTACATTTTATGTAACTAAAAAAGTTTAATTTTTTGTCTTTATTTTCAACTAATTTTCAGTTATATTGCGAGAATATTACACGAATTATTAAAAAAAGAATTTAATCCTAGAAGAAACATATTAGTCCTTAAAACACGATTTTTGGCACCTTTGTGTTGAATGTTGTCAGTAATATTATATATTATGTATTGACTATAACGTTATAAAGAACATTTTCCTAATAAATTATAAGGTTTTTAACAAAAATAAATATTTATAAATAATATGCATTGTTTAAAATGTAAATGAAATATATCTTCAATTTATAGCCATTTATGCATATTTAAAAAAACATCATTTTCAGGTTACTCAATAACTAAATTTTTGGACAGTCAATACTTTAACTTTTTTTTTCTTGTAGTTCAGAATGTTAATTTTAAGATATTGAACTATATTTTTTCCTTTAAACATTTTTGTTTCAGAGTTTTTACATAGTTTTTTATATGAAACAGTGCATTTTTCTCATTTTGTTAACTATATTTAATTATAATAATTTATCTACAATTTGTTATGAATATATAACTGTACAAATATTTTCTGAAGATGTTAAAATATATGTAAAAATCGTTTAATCATTTGTATTAAAGTAGAATGTTATGCATTGACTGGATGGTCTTAATTTGACCATAGGTTCGAGTGAAAATAAGGCACTCTCCTGAATTCTTCTCATAACATAAAAACTTTATTGCGGGAGAACCTATACATGCGCGCTTGCCGCTTTTGATCTCTCGCGTATTTACATAATGGCGACAACTAACAACGCCAACTCACCAAACTAAACTACCATAAACTAAACCGGTCGATAACGCGGTTGATAATCAGCATAAGCGCCATAACTAAGGAACTTCAAACATATTCATTGAGTAGACATAACATGTATATACGTATAAAAGTGATGAAAATTAAGTTAGAACACGAATGATCGTGTGTAGTAAGGGTATCAAAAACTAAAGTGCGTACTAAGAATTAAAATCGCGTACATGGGATCGAACCCGGATTTACAAATCACGAGTCAACTGCACCGAGCGGCAAGCCACTCGATGATTTACTTGAATAGTTTTCATTATTTGATGTCATAGTTACATATTCGTATTGTAGATGACGTTGACACACAATTTTAATGTAAATTATATTGGTTTCGGTTAGAAATCAATATGTCCAGGGGGCTTAAAATACGACGAAAAGAGATCGTTATTAAAACTTTAGAATGATGAGAAACTCAGAATGTTGTTTTCTAAAACGATGGACACAAGAACTATCACAAAATTAATCCAAATACTTTGAAATTTGACTTAGTTATTGTCAATTGAATTATTTAAAGAAATATCTATGGTTTTTGCTATAATTTATATACTTTTTTGTAATTTATATCAATTCAAAATTACTTTTTTAAAAAAGGTGAAAAAAGGCGCTCAAAGAAAATGTGCTTTTCGAATAAAACATAAGTATCCAACTCAATTAATAATAGTTTTAATTTTTTTTCAAAGATATTCTTTATTAAAGATCTTTTTATTCCAATCCAAGTAACAACTTTAATTCTTTGTCAAAAATTACTACTCGAAAAAAACTAATGTATCAAATGAAAAATTAAAACCAATTAAAGCAGCGCCAAGTGTTTACTTCTTTAACTTTATGTGGTAACACTTGAATGGACAAGGTAACGCAATTATATTTAAATTGTATTTAAAGATTATCGCGGGTTTTCTCCGTGTACAGATCCATTCTTGGAATGCTAACGTTTCGTGAATCTTGCAGTTCACTTCATCAGGGCGAGGAG